CATACGCAGGCGTGTTTCCTTGCAGCTTGATTGGAAAATCACATATAGGCCATCAACCTGAACCTACAGAGAGAGCGGAGGGTTTCTCCCCCCTCATGCAAACTGATTGGCTTGGGGGGGGGGGGGGGGGGGTTCTCTACCATATTCATTTCACAGTGTGTGATACATGGGTAAAGAGGAGTGTAAAAGGCAGCTTGCAGCAGTGCTGTATTCTTTGTTATGCTTCAAAGTCGAGCTCAGCGCTTCAAATTTCACAGCAATGAACGTGTGAAAATACAAATACACTGACATTAGAAATCAGTTCATTTCTAAGCTTCAATTATGCAAAGGTTACTGATTATTTTCGTAGGCAGAGGCTTCGATTGGAGTGAGAGGCATCAGCATAATTCAGCTGCAAGGTGCACTCTGAGCTCGCCTCCCCACATCCTTGACTGCTGCTGACTTCCAAGCATTCATAAAATATGCACTCTGTCTTTTATAATTGAACAGAAAAAGGAAACATGCCTTGATAGTGATTTAAAGAAGAAAAAAACTGGTCTAGAGTTATTTTCTTATATTCCATTATGTGTTTTCCAGTAAAAAAGGGATGTACTGTAAATATACAGTGTAGGACATTCCTCTTGCTGTTATTCACATTGACATGAATCAATGCTTTTCAAAGTATCCAATCAAACACTTGCCCGCAGGGCTTAGGAAGAAATCATCCTTTTATACGATCAAAAAAAGTAAAAAGTCAAACTGATTTTCTAGCTCTGTGTTGTTGAAACAGCATTTCAAAAGATGTTACAGATCGCTATACCTTGTAGAAGAAAGACAATTAAACAGATTGAACCCTTTGAGCTAGAATCATAAACTCAGGAAAAAGAAGGAGAAGCTCTGTCTTCCAGACTTCATGAGAAAATGATTTAACTTCAGAGAGTGGTGGACAACACACAGCACCTCTCATCATATGATCTGGGGAATTGGAAGGATTTTGGCTTCACTTTATTAGTTTTCTTTACCCTGTGCAATTCATTTCTAACAGGTGAAAGGTCTCCTTAACCACAACACAGGCAACCAATTGTCTGGTAACCTCATTCTCTATGGGTGATAAAAGGATCTGAATGAATTTGTGGAGGCTTGCCCACAGGATTTGCCTTGACATCTCAAAATATGTAGTGGCAGCTGTCTGATTTCTTTAAAATATGTGATGCAAGAAGTCCAATAATCTGTTGCAATATACATTTAAATCCATACTAAACCTTTGGACATTTCAAGCATGAGCATTTTCTTCCAAAAGCCTATACAATGAATATCAATCATTTTATAATCCTACATAAACCAGCCAATGAGGAAGGTCATGTCAGCAATGAACACACAAATGAACTGTGCAACCTCTGTGAATAACAGGTCCCAGTGAGGGTGTAGTTCACTGAGTGTGTCAGCAAATCCCCCAGGAACTAAAGGAGGTGAGAAAACTATCATACTACCGTGGAAATAGTACAAGAAAATGCAGTGTGCACAGAAAAAAGAAACACAATGCAAAGGACCAAATACTCAGCTCACATTGATTCATCGTCAGTAAGGCTATTTGTATAGCTCAAAACAGCATTAAAACAATGCACATTTAAATAAGAGAAACCCTTTTAAAGACATACCAATGTTAAGGACGTAGAAATAAATAAAGGAGAGGCTAGATTGTTCTTCATGCGTATTTAAGGTCCAGCCAATGGCATTGCATTACAAGTTTTCAACCTGCATTTGAAGGTGCGGTCAAACTTCCTCCAGACGTTTGTTCCTGATCCGTGGTGAGCAGTAACTAAATGCTGCTTCTCCGTTTTTATTTGCACTGTTAGCAGACGTCTACCTGATGACCTCAGAGGCTGAGGCCCCGGCTCCACGAGGACAAATACGACAAAACGCATCGGAGTAACGCAAATGCAACCGCAAAAAACCTTCCGTCCCCACGCAATATACACCGGATTGTGTCAAGCTCCACGAGACGGCTCCGTTTACATCCAAACGCTGGAAAAGCTGCAGTACATATGCCGAACCTGTACGTGGCGCTGTAACTTCCTCCACAAAAGCAGCAACTTCCTCCACAAAAGCAGCGAAGAAGAATGGTTGTCATGGCTGCACTTCTGTGTATTCTCCGCGGTGGGGGCCGACAGAACCGGGCAGAGTTTTTCGCCGGTCAGCGTGTGTTAAAGTTTAAATCTTCCGGACAAAATTATAAAAGTGCCGGTCAAAGGTCTTCATTGTTATTTATTGAGCTTTAAAACAAATGAATAACGACTATATAATGATATATAATCATCAAATACACAGAGCCTGTCTCTTTTTCCTCTCTTCTGACAGCGTCAGTGTCTGTCTCATGCAGCAGCTGATCCTGTAATGAGTGACCCGACAGTAAAAATGAACATATTTATAACTAGTTTAGTTTGAGAGGTAATTAAAATAGCTAAGGGTGATGATCTGACTTGAAGTGTGTGTTTTGCTCCCGCTGCATCACAGCGGCAGGAGCTGCGTGTCTCCGTCCTGTCAGATTAGACTTCACTCGCGTTTATGTCCATATCGAGATAAAGATAAATAATCTGAATTCAAGGAGGAGCTCCTGTAGATGTTGCACAAAGAACTGTAGCATGGTCAGTAGCGACTGGAGCACGATAGCAACCCTGCGGGGGAGAGGCGGGGCTATGAAAACGAATGACCGTATAGGCGACTCCACGGCCCCGTTGGACCCCCCAGAGCGCTCCGTTCCCAGATCTATCCACCTTTGGACCCGTTGTCGTTTGCGGGGTCTGTTTCTACGTTTCCCTTACGGCGTCGTCGAGCTTAGAGGGCTATACGCATGAGAAATATGCGGATTCAACCCGTTTTCGTCCTCGTGGAGCCGGGGCCTCAGAGGGTTCGTATCGTAAAAAGACACGTCTTGAGAGATTTATAGACGAGGAGCGGTATACACTTTTCTCCGAAATACTGAAAGACATCAAAGAACTGGTATATTGTGTTCAGCACATTGAGACACCAGCTGCTAGAGTCCTAACAAAGAGAGGTTTTTTTAGGGGGAGATTAGAGAGAAGAACAGTTCAGTAATCTAACATGCAAGAAAAGAAAGCAAGGCTTAGTTTCTCAGTTGTGACTGAACACAAATCCTCAGATTCTTGCTTTGACGGTAGAATGAAAACTTTGTAATTGTCATTCGACGTGCCTGGTAAAGTTTTTCCATCATTACAAAAACTTCTAAATTTCTAAATATGTCTCGAGATGAACAATAACTTTCAGCCTTCCTTTGTTTGCACCAACGACCATTTAACTGGGCGAGACCTGAAACACCTAATCATCATTTGTTTGTTTGCCTTGCAGAGAGGGTATTTTGGACTCTCACTTTATGACAGATCCAGGTACATTTGAGTGCTTTCTGCATGATTACGACAGGTGATGTTATGTATAATGTGGTCTAAGGAAATTATGTGAACAGAAGAGGCCCAAGGGTTGAGCCTTGGGGAACCTCAACATCGTGTAGGTCTTCTGATATTCTTATTTACAGACTGAGACAAAATGGTTTCTTTCCTGAAGATTCAACCAATTTATCCTAGTTTGTCTCCAAGTATTGTCTAGTCAACTGTGTCAAAAGTAGCAGTAAGATCTAGTATGACAAGAACTTAAAACAATTTCTAAACGGTAATCATGAAGGAACAGTCATGAAAGCTGTCTCAGTACCTTGACTAGGCCGAGAAATGATATTGAAATGGATTTATCAATTTAGATGTAATTTCTTCGATGTAATTTATCAATTTAGATATATTTCGTTTTTTAAAGTTTTAAAAGTGTATTGGTACTGTAGGTACTCACAAATGTATCTGGACAAACTATTTAGGAGAGGCTTGGTGACTGCAGTTTTTACATCTTCAGGAATATTACCAGACGAAATGGGGTTATCACCTATAGAAAGGTGTCCTAGTGTTTCTCGGATCTAAATTGTACATTTTGAGTTTCATTTTGAATATATCACGGTACATTTGAAGTTCCTTTCTGTCTCTTTTCTGCATTCCCCCTTGGCCAGAGAATGGTTTAACTTAAGGATATCAATGGCCTTTTGTCATTTAAATAGTTTAGAGACAGAGGTCAAAGGTTAGGACAGAACATGCAGAGATAGCTTCCATTATCAGCGTATGCTCACTTGTGAACAGTTGTTGCTATCGTATGGAATTAGGGAGAGATAGATATTTGCCACAAAAGATCTGCAATAGCAAGGTCAGCTACTGTAACATCTGAAATATTAACAACCTTATTGATGGTAAAGTATTATCTAGCTATGTTGCAAGGTATAATAAGTCTTAGCACCATTGCAGAAATACAATCCCCAGTCCATATGATCAAGCAACACTCAGCCTTTTCAACACAACATATCCTCTGTCAGTACAGGAGGCACTAAATCAGTGAGCTGAATGTTTTCAACACCTCTGAAAACAGGCTTGGCAACAAATGTGTATTTCCAATGATGGGAGCACAGACAAAAAGCCCTGCTTGAAAAATCAGAGTCCAGAGTGCTCTCTGTATCTGTCTCTATATGTATTTATGAAATACTTCAGGTAAGTTTACAGGTAACAGCGGTGACTGTGGCTGTGAGGGAGTGCGGTCGTCTTTCAAGCAGAAAGTTGTTGGTTCGATCCCAGCCCGTGCTTTCAACATGTCGATGTATCCTTGGGCAAGATACTGAACCCTGAATTGCTCCCGATGGCCAACGTTGTGTGAGTGTGTGTGAATGTAAGTTCCTAGAGCAAGCTACACTGCTATGTATAAAAGGGTGTGAAAGGGTGAAATACATGTAGTATGTAAAGTGCTTTGAGGGGTCGTAAAGACTGAATAAAGCACTATATAAGTACAGTCCATTTACCATTTACCATGAATGAAACATCGAGCAGCTCTACTTGACGTCAGAGTGGTAAACACACGTCTCAAGGGATAGACCTGAGTGATGAAACAGTGATGACATCTAGAAAGAGGATAGGAAATACCTTTGATGGTGACACTTCCTGTGCTGCTGGCCACGCCAAACTGGTTTCGTGCCATGCAGGTGAAGAGGCCTGCATCAGATTTGGTTGCGTTCCATATCCGAAGGTTACCGTTGTCCAAGATGGAGATCCTGCAGGTAAGAAGAACATTATATATGTCACTGCTGTAGCATTGGCTTTTTGCTGTGCACACACTGTATATTTCTTAACTGTTTTAACAATGGTTGACTTTGCTGCAGTGTCTCTTATTAAGTTATGTTTCTATGCAGATGACGATGAGAAATAGGATTGCATTTTCAAGGTGTGAATAATTCAGTACATGACTTTAAAATATCTAGGACAACATGCCCTTTCTACAATGGCCACAAGTGCTTCAAAAAAGGTCAAAAAGGCCTTAACACAAATTTGACATTTTCTTAATAACAAGCAAAAATGGAAATCGTGTCCTTGGAAGCAAGCTTCTCTGGGAAATCAAGGGTGGACCAACTCATCAAAGCACACTGAATTCTAATTAGCTGAAATGCTCTGCTGAATCTGCAAACTGGAACAACGTCAGCCTGATTGTGAGGGGGGGGGGGAATGTTGTGTAAAGATGTCGCCTGTAAATTGCTCTGTTCAACTAAAGTATCAAATGAAATGAACTGATTCACTCACTGTTGTATGGCAGCACGTCTTTGAAGGAAAATGAGGAATACGTTTATTTCCAGCTTAATTGAATACTCGATTCTGATTTGTCAATTTTTAAACTCCAGCGGTTATTATTTTTCGCTAACAGACCGTTGCTAAGAAGAACAGGCTGTTGCTAAGGAGAATCAACGGACTATGCAGTCATATCAATCCCAATAAATACATATTGTCTGTTTAACATTAGCTAAATTATCCATCAGAAAAACACTTTGGAATACTTTTTTAATATTAATGTTTATATTTGTGAAGAGCACTAAACTTTGGATTCATGATGGCTAAAGAAAGAAAAAAAACACCAGAGAAGGAAAGAGGTTAAAAGACAGAGCGCTGGAAGTCAGAAAAACCAACAGAAGAAGACAGACAGGAAGGAAACATGTAGGAACGCCAGTCATATTTCTGTGTGGCTATGTCACTTAAAACTACCCAACAAGTAAGTTAAGGCAAGGTAAGTCTATTTATAAAGCACTTTTCAGACACAAGGGCAACTCAAAGTGCTCTCCAAAAACTTCAACAACAAATAAGAGGATTCCCAAGAGAGACACAATCCCTAAGAGATAGAAATGAAATAAACATTACTTTTTGAAATACAGTAGATTTAAGAGTTTCAAGAGGATCAAAAGTAAAATAATATAAATGACCTCGGGAAACAGAACACAAAGGAAACAAAGTTATTGATTAAAGCAGAGGTTTCAGAAAAGCTTTTTCCCCCACTATCACATTACCAGAAAGTATTATTAACACTCATATTCCTCCATCTATAACCTCAACTGCAAAGCCAACCTATTATACAATCTGCCTCCACTGCATTGACATGATAAACACATTACTGTATTGATGAACAGCAACACGGCCAAAATCCAACATAACAGATCCTGTATATCAACACAAACGCTTTCTAGAGGAATGTCACTACCTTAAATCAGCTTCACATGATTCCTCTACTGCTCTTGATTGATTAAAAACACCCATCTGACAAGATAACTGACGCCATGACACAATTGAGTTAATAGGCCAGAAGTGTATGGTATATGAGCGGGTTGTTTCTTGTTTGCACCAGTGATGCATTTAACTGGATGTACTTGTGAAAAGCAGTTGATACCATGTGACATGGTGTTACATCCCCCCCTGCTTCACTGTCTAAATGGGGCTTCTTCAAGCGATAAGAAAATGCAGAGACAGTTAGTATAAGAGAACATACTTCTAAAACCACACGGTGCTGCTGAGTGGAGGCTTTTGGTTTATGTCAGGCTGAGAGAAAAGTGCTGAATGCAAGTAGCCAACGATGACCATCAGTTACACGGGGGGGGGGGGGCATATCGCTGTGTGGGATGGCCCACAGTTAATGACATCAAACCTGGGGGCTGATGAATTGAGGAAAAAAGCCCATTAAAAGGCACCGCAGTCCGACAACTGGCCATAACCCTGAGCAGAGTAAGCACAATTCAAACAACTGCTGTACGTTAATTACATTGCATTGCTGGCGCTCTGTGTTATCTTAAAGGTCACCTATTATGCTAAATCCACTTTTTCAACATCAACATGTGTCCCCTCTGTGTTAAGAGATTATGAAAGATTGGCTCACTTTTTGTCCTGATCCATTTATATAAAAACCTGTCTGAAAATGAGATGATCAGATTTTGGCAACGTAACCAGCACATTGTTCACACCCATAGCTCAACATAGATAAATACCTTTTGTGTTTTGCACATTTCCTTTTCCCCAGGGACAAAGCAGCTATCATGTGACTTGTGTGCCATAAATCTTGTAAGAGGAGGCTCTGCGGAGAGTTAACAAGTGATGCCGCATGCGAGCACAATGGCTCCTATAGAGAGTCAAATCCTCAGTCGCCCTCCTGTGGAGCCAAGACTGGTCTTAGCAATTCAACACGTTGTCGAACTTCTTCTGAAGCCTCATAAAGATTGGGGAGGAATTTTCCTTTCACCAACAGTACAGAAAGTAGAGCAGACTGTCTGCATAAGAGATCATCATTTTATTCTGGATCTAATGAAGAGCAGTTCAGGTCAAACACAGTAGTGAAGCATAGCACAGAGGTGGTGAATAAGAGATGGAAGCTTAAATTAACACTTTTCAGTTTTGTTCCTGCCGTCCCTCGTCTCTGTCATCGCCCTGTCTGCGCGATGTGACCGTTACGTAAAGAGACATTTCCCACCTCCTTCCCTCGAGGAGCCAACGGAGGGGCAGGTATCAATAATTCACAGGTGAGATGAACACAAGAGCCACTCCTTTCATCTTTGATTTACACAGATTTAATGGACACAGCAAGAATCCTCCTAAAAAGAGGGGATTATTTTGAACAAGGGGAGATGGCCAAGAGCACTCCTGTAATCCTAAAAAACACAGGTGTGTGTGTTTTGGGGCGAGATCAAGCCTCTGAGGAGGGGGCCTGTACGGCGTTGATCCTCCCTGCTCTGTGACAAGATGAAAGAGACAAATAACATGAGTCCCAGCGCAGCTATCACGGGCACTGTGAAGTGGAAATCGCAGGAAAAACAGCGTGGTCCAAAGTAAAAGGCTGTTTTTGTTATTTCCTTACATTCTCTTTGAGACGCGGTTAACAGATGCAGACGCTGCCTCTTTGTAAAGCTTCCTCACAATCAAAAAGGCACTTGAAAGCCTTGTTTTGATGTTTCATTCAGAAATATTTGTCTTTGATCTGTTTGATAAAGTCTGAATTGTGAGAGGGAAACTGTCACAATCCAAATAATGAGTCGCCAGGAAATTGTGTGTTGAGTGCAGCGGCTTTGAACTAATAAGTGCGGCTCTGGAATGTCGAGCGAGTTTCTAATGGCAGCTGCCGAATACTCGTGCTAAAATAGTGAAATCATCTGAGCCCGCCGTCTACACAAAAATCCAAAACTTGCCAATCTATGAAGGGGCGTGTACTCATAAAAATTCACCATACAAACAATGTGCCTAATTACAGATTAGATGCTGATTTTGAGGGTTTGGAGCAGCAGCGTTCATGAATACTTAGTGACTCTGAGATGCCACGGCTGATTGGTAGCATGACTGCAGGGTGGAGGCCTGTATTGGAGCCTCTACTTAATTAACAGGGTAAATAAAACCGGCTTGTGAAAATAGGGGTTAAGATTCTATCAGTGGGATTACTCAGCCATGAGACCACAGGAAGAGAGATCTTTGCAAGCTTACGGTGATTCCAGCAAATAATTAGTCTCAGCAAAGGCTTTTCTATACACAAAGACTGTTGCCTCAGTGCGCGCACGGCTAATGCAACTCGCCCCCCGAAGCAGCCATCCACTACCAAATACCGGACGAGTAAATGGGAAAAGTGAGTGTGAAAGAAATACTGCAGGGTATGTGTTTGATTTTGTGTTTGCCTGCCACGGTAAGCTCACAGATAAGGTGAGGTGTTGCTTTCTCCGACCCGCTTTGACCATCATCGACCTACCTGCAGGCGATGTTGCTAATCATAATTGTATCAAAACGTCATGTGTTGCTAACAGAACTCGAGGCGGACAGGCTGTAATGTGGCGAGTGCGCGGAGAAAAAGAGACGAGGTCACCATATCCTCTGAGCCGGGACAAGGGGTGGGACCTAACTTCAGGTGTTGATCTATGCTCTTGACTGCTTTAAAAACCCTGAAGTGCATGGCGGGGGGAGGGGCGGTGTGAGATGAATTGAAAGGCTGTCTCTCCTCAGGTTCCCCACAGTGTGCTGTTCTGGAGAGAAACGGCCTTGTCAGTGTCATAAATCAAACCCAGCTGTGGAGCAGAGACCCAGGACGCTACAACCTGCCGAGCGCGATTTTTAGACCGCGGTACAACTTCTCAGATGTCTACTTTATGCAGAATCATGACTAAACTTGAGTATACGCTCTCTTTTCTAGTGAAGTTCATCAAGGTTAACCGTCGATAAGAAACCACACAGCAGTCTTGTTTTGTGTCTGTTCTTTCAGACAACAAAGAGATTGGCTCACTCTCCAGAACGAGGGACACCTGGGCATTTACTTTTGACAATTCTCCGATACAGGTGTAATTGATATTGATTTTGGCTGTACTCAGACCTGTACCAATAGCTCTCACCTTGTCACATGGGTCATTAGCTGCAGCAACTGATTGGAGCATTTTCACACGGCTCTATGAATGGGGATGATTAGCTTTGAGACTATTAGAAATGTAAAGCTGTGCAGAACTAAATCTTCAACCGAAGCAAACCCCTTCAAAAACAAGGGATATATCAAGCTATAACTGGACTGGCTGAACTTAGTTAGCAAGGACCATAGAGGTCATTTTCATTTTCATTTAAATGTGTTAACCACACAAGCAGCATGGCTTTTCGTCAGTTGTGTGACATCACTATGTATTGGCTAGTACTCCAACATATTGTACATGATATGCTGAGGGTATAACCAATCAGAGCAGACTGGGCTCTGGTTTCAGACAGAGGGTGAAAAGAGGTGCTG